GATCGTTGTCATCGTCCATACTGGTGAGAAGAACGCGATGGCCATGTTTGCTGAAGTTTATTACTACCACATGGAAAATTTTGAGGGAGTAGAGATTCATCATGTGTGCCAGGGTTAGGGTTTTTCCGGTCTTCGTGCACAGCTAGCGTAGGCAAGCCACCATTCTCTATATAGACGAGCCTACTTGTGCTAAAAAGATCCGGTACCGGTGGCAAAACTCCAAAATTACGGGGTCGAGCCCTTCACTTGTCCCCAAGGAAAACAGACCCAAAGTAAATGGGTACGTATAGACTACGTAAAACCCTCATTGGTGAAGGCAACCCGCTCTATCATATCCGGGGCGAGGATGTTAAGGTTATGGCAGTTGCAGTCCTCCTTCACAGTAGGAATACTGGACAGGCGAATAGAGGAGAGGTACCTACTAACGGCCCAAGTTCGTGGAGACGCAGATGTGACCTTCTCTTAGAAGTCGTTAGCAATACTCAGGTGTTTGGGTATGATGTGTTTACAGTGGGAGACTCGGAATCAACGTCAGCTACTTTGTCTTTATTTCTCTTCGGGCCTCCACCAAAAAGAAGACCAGAGTTTCTAAAAAATACAGTAGAAGAAGCCATGGTAGTAAGAAGGCATTAAAATTTTAAGAAAAAGTTAGAGAAGATGAAAGTTTTCTAAGCAGGAGAAAATTGAGTGCAGAGAAGACGATAATCTTATGGAGATTTTGGAAGTGAAAGAGGTGAAATGATGAGTACAAGTAAAGATATAGATGGCAAAAATCGTGGTCATGATTACCTTGAGAACCGACAAAAATATTGCTGAATAGTGGGGCAACACGTGTTCGGGGTATGCGAGAAGACGTACGTTTTTTCGAGCGTCAGAAACTGTTAAGGAGATTTCCCGCCAAGAAAGGGATCTTCAATAACTTTCCGGTGACACAAAGATATGTCATCGGAAAGCAGAGGGACTATCTGTATAGGGTAAAATTAGTTTATAATAAATGGTCGAATGATAGCATGACACGTGGAACTGAAGATAGGTAAAAAGTGAATCAAGTAACAACCAATACCAGGAACAACAGGTGCAATTGACATCGGATAAACCCCGAAGAGAGAATGGTCAACGGGAGCAAATCGAATATTTTCCATCGGATAGCATTCAATGAAGAATATTCTCTAACATTAAATGGGCAGCCGTTGCAGAGAATATTTGCATTCATGGCCTGTCATTACATATTCATCAATGACTCCTTTATTATCATTTAAGTGGGGCTTGATCCTAGGATCTTGTTTTCCTAGATATAGCTATAAATAGCAGGCTCAGCAGCCATTATAAGACACGAAATTCTTGGCAAAATATAGGCTATATTTCATTTTTTCTCTCAATTAAATACCTTTATTTGCTCTCATTTCTGTCTTCGGAGACACTACTCTCGGAGCCAGGCTTGTCATCTTCTTCAATTTCAATTACTAAGCTTCACTTTTTAATCTTATTTCATTATTATTTTGGATTAAATTAGTTTGCTTGTCTATAAACCACGTAACAAATTTAGTTGTACCGTTTTACGGATAAACAATAACTAAATCCATTTGAGATTTTACATCTTCATATATCTGGTTAAGGTTAACAATACTACTCTCATTTTTTGATGAGTTCGCCCAGGAAGGTAGATGAAGAAGTTGATTTGACTCGCAAACAATTGTAGTTGGTTGTTGCAGAAAAAAAAGCTTCAGTGCTAATTGAAATGTTGGGATGACATAAAAAAATCACACTTTGTGGCTTATATCTCAGTTTTCAAATGGATGTAAAAATAGAACTTCTATACTTGAATTTAGGAAGTGTATTAATTATTTTAAAACATCAAGCGGACCTATCAAAGATTTGTTACATTATGAACTGCAACTTCCACTCTTACAAGAATGTTAGCCAAAGACCTAATGAGGTCTATCTCGAATGGTAATGCAAAAACCCTTGAAATTTAAAGTCTTGAATTTAACTATACTGAAGTACGGTGCCCCTCAGTATTTATTCTTTTGGCATGTAAATAACTGTATGATAAGTGGTGATTTTACCATATATTCTAGTCTCATTTTCTTTAGTTTTTGGTTCATTTATTTATAAAGTGAGGTTATTTATTATGTTAAGTTAGCATTTCAGGTTTGTTGAAGATTAATTGATGTTGGAGTCAAACGAAGGTTGAATGTTCAAAAAGATAAGACAATTGGATGAAATGCCTTCAGTTGTCGCACCTGCGGATAATGCCCCGCACCTGCGGGCTCGCACATGCGATCAAGATGATCGCATATGCGAAAAATGGATAGATTCAGCACCTTCGCACATCTGCGGAGTAAAAGAGTCGCATCTGCGAAAGTGGACTGAGCCAAGTCCTTCGCATCTACGAGGAATTCCATCGCACCTGCGCCCCGGTACCTTCGCACCTGAGATATAAGAATCCACATCTGTGATGTTGGAGGGAATCAAGCCCTTCGCATCCGCGCGGGCTTTCACGCATCTGTGTCCCCTTTTCTCTTGCACCTGCGATGCAATTCTGCAGGTGCGATCGACAATCTTTAGTTCAAGGCAGACTTGCCATTTCACATTTTCGGATCCCAAATCACATATACTCGACCTAGCTCATTTTGAAACACATCTTTGGCATTTGAAAAGAAAATACAAGCTTTGGAGCTTGGGTTTCTTGCACCAACTTGGGGATTGAAGATTTGAAGACTTTGGATGAGATTTTGTTACCCTTTTTACTCATTTTTTAATTCCTTGTTATGTATTGAATATTTAAGTGTATAGTATTTATTCCAATACTTGAAACTTGTTTATGAAAATATTCATTGTGAAAGTTTGGATTAAATCTCTTGTTATGCTTATGTAGTGAATGATTTTTATTAATTATGAAGTGAGTTAAATATTTCTTTAATTATTCTTATTCTTTAATGTTTCCAAAGGGATTAGCTAACCCTAGAACTCGCCCATTAACTTCGAATTAATCTTGGAAAAGGCAAACTCGGGGTTGGGAAAGACTAATTAACAAACAGTTGAGGCGTTGATAGTAGGCTATCACTATGTAGTTTGGCCACTATTTGCACTCTAAATTGGCTGCACTTCATTGATGTTTGAGTGCTAAATGATAATAAATTACTTTGATTGAGTATTTTTATGCTTTGCAGGAGCAATTCCGGGCTACAATGAGGTTAAGGAGTGTTTTGAGATAATATGGAGCGTTGAAGGCCAAGTAAAGGCTTATGGAGTAAATTTGGAGTTCGTTCAAGGATCGAAGGAAGTTAGTGCATTTAAAAAGAAGAACAAAGAAGAGTGCAGAAAATCGCCTAGGTGCGCGACCGCGCACTGACCGCGCAAGTCAGGCAAAAACTGGCCAAAGTGCGCGGCCAGATGCGCGGTCACCTGCATAGGTGCACGACTGCGCACGTCCTTCCGAGAAAAATTAGTCCAGGGCTAAAATTGTAATCTCAGAGGCGACTGTCCTTAACCTATATGAAGCCCAGCTCGCCCAAAAAGAGGGTATCTTGGTTTTTAGGAGAATTTTGAAGGCAAGAACAGGCAAGGATCAAGACGGAAGATTCAGAAACGAGTTTTTATCTTTCTTTATCCCTTTTTTATCATTGATGATGAATTCTTATGTTGTGATTGTTAAAACAAGTATGAGGACCTAAACTCTTTATTCTAGGGTTTGATGGAACCTCTTGGAGGATGAATCTTTGTTGTGTTTAATATAAATTTGCCATTGAAATTTTCTCTACTTGTTCAACTACGGGATTATTGTGGTTGATTGAAGGTCCCTCAATATACTATGCCTATTTAGTGTGTATTACTCAGAAAAAGGGTATACGTTTAGGTAGTTGTTGAACAACATCACTCCTAACGTATATGAGAGATCAATACAGATGGTTTAAAAGTGGGTTTAGGAATAACGAAACCTTGGTGCGATTGTAGTGAGTGGTAAACTAGTGCTAGATAGCGTAATTCGGAAGAATACGTTTAGTAAATTATTGCATTTACTTGGAAGAGAATTACAATACCTAAAGTGCTCACGATCGGTAGAGAGTATCTAGGCAAATTTGTAGCAGACGTAGCAGGGAGGATTCCGATGAGAGGGAAAATCATAACTCTAGATTTTCCTAATCTCGTCTACAACAGTTGCTTTGTTAGTAATAAAATTTACAGCTTTTTAATTACCTTGTTAATTGTTAGTAAACACTCAAGTCATTATTCAATCTTGTTGGAAGTTGATTATTTGAATTCTGGCTGAACTAAAAGTTGTGATTAGTACGTTAATTCCCTGTGGGATTTGACTCCGGACTTGTAAACCAGATTATATTTGCAACGACCGCTTCATCCTTTTTATAAGGCATAGTTGGGCGTGATCAGGCGTTAACCCTCATTTTATAGATTCTACCCAGGGATGAGAATGAACTACTTATAGCCACATTCAGGTGTACTTAATCCTCTTAATTGTTTTAGGATAATTCAATTAGGAAGTCTTGTTAGTCTTCGGAAGAAGCTAATATAGAATTATTATCCGAGGTTAATTAACATAAACTCATTCATATTTGTGAAATCATGAAACATATTGGATCACTACTTGAGTGTAATTCCCCTTGTATCCATGCTTGTAGCCATTGATCATTTTACTTGCTTTCTAGGCTAGTTTATATTTTCACATTAGTTATAATATTTTCTCAAATCCCCTATTAGTGTTTGACTTAGCATAATAAGCGATAATTCTCTTACTTGCTTAATCGCCTATATATTGTTCCCTGTGGGATTCGACCCCGACTCATAGTTGGGTAAATTATATTGCATGCGACCGTATACACTTACTCTTTGAGGAATGATTTGAGCGTTATCACTGTACACCTTGTAGATTCACTCTTAATTGACAACATTTACGAAGATCAATGTTTTTTTGTCCTGGTGTTGGATAATTGTATCGTCACTTGAAAAGGAATAAACACCAACGTGTAATCTAATTAGCATTAATAAAACCAGAAAAGTACTCGTTTTGGTTGGAACAGATATCTTACATCATACAGTTGGTTAAAGAAATATCTAGCTCTAGCTATATCAAAAGTCTAATATGACATCAAAAGTTGAATGCTGGTGTGATTCCGGATTCCCCTGCCTTTCTACCGTAGTTTACACTTGTCCGTCCAAATAGTCGACCCTTCACTATCTCAGCCCTGTCAGCAAGAGCATCCTCTAACAAGAAGAATTCACTTTTTGCAACTACCCTAGTGTAGAGATTCTGGCAATGGTAACGAAATTCAGACACTTTGCCAGTTTATTGTGTTTCCTTCTTCTACGCGTCCATGTTTGAAGCAATTGACTAATCTAATGCAACCAAAAGCTTCACTGTAGCTAAGATAGAGGACCTCTCGTACATTACAGCAGCCCAAGGATTAACCATGTTAAATACACCACTGTATATGCTTGAATATTGTTTTTCATCAGCCTTCCCTTGCACCTGTTATTGTGTGAGAGGAACACATTCAAGCTCAATCTCTAGTATTCCCCTTTCAACATTCTGCAGCTTCACAGTGATATCCTGTTTCACCTTACCATCTATTAGACTGATAATGCCATCTTTAACTAGAGTGTTTTCTTTGCTTGCTTTCCATTTCCCAAGCAGCATTGATTCACTGAGTGTTGAGTTTTCAGATGCTTTTGCAGCAGTAACAAGAGGCTGAATGTCAATCTCAGCTTCCCCCATGAAGTCGTCAGTTGTAAATGTATCCTTGTCGTAGACAAGCTGCGAAACCATGCCTAAGGTCATTAGGGTGGCTTGAACAATTTAGTGAAGCAACTCTCATATATGCTGATAATTACCTTTTTTATATAAAAAAGGGGCAGCCCGCCGGTGCACAAAGCATCCTGCGTTGACACAGGGTCCGGGAAGGGCCGCACCCCAAGGGGGTGTAAGGTAGACAATTTATTAAGGAAAAATGTGCAGAAGGTGAAGATTCATATGGATATTAGCATTTTCTCTCGAGTTTCTTTCACGTATCATCCATCATATGATACTAAAAAAAATGACTAATCATGTCACTAGAAGGCAATGTAGAAAGTTTTAACAATATTTTTCCTTCATCCAGTCTGGAGTGTCATCTCTGGTTGTGATTGAATTTGATACAAGTTTAGAACACCTCACAGAATCAAAACGACAATCATATTAAGTTAGTTAACAAGATGAAGAGAACAGAGACATGAATGTGATGTGGAACCATTTATATTGAGAAAGCAACAGAAAACATGAATTTACGGTTCATCTGTGTTATTAGGAGATGAAAGCTAAGATGAGAAAGGAGAAGGTATTGAGGCAGGTTTATTATTAGTTTGTTCATATAATTGTCCCTCTTCACATTTAATAGCTAATAAAATTAAATGATAGAAAAACACATACCACTTTCAAAGGAGGAACATTTTCTGGAATTGACAACATTAGCTTTTCATTCCAGACAGGGTTAAGATTGTTCTTGATGACACGCGTCTTGACTGACTGCAACCAAAAAAAGTTCAGAGCTGGGTTTAGTATGAGGATTTTAATGCCATATGTCACCCACAGGTGGTAGGAGAGGGAGGGAAGTTCCAAATAAACCATCAGCCCCATTTCTTTTGGGTGGCAGTAGTTTCCAGTAAGGATGCTACAGATCTGGATAAACTTCAAAAGTTTAGTCGCACTAATACAAACAATGACAAAACTCAAAAAAGAATTAGCATTTACCTGGCTCCCCAAGGAGAGAATTACATAAGGATCACTTGTTACCACATCACGGACAGCTAGGTTGGTCCCTCTCACCACATTGACTTTTATCAATCCTATAAATTCAACCATACCTGCCTATAGACAAAATACGTAGGTGTATGATTCTGTTTTACAAATTGAAAGCTGATTTTGTGATAAATCATGCATGTGTTAAGTATGATATTAAGTCAATCCATGATCTTACAGAATTGCATTATTGTCTTTGAAATTACATAAGAAACCATCTTCTTTGCTCTATAAATTACATAAGGAACAATCCTTAAAACACAGTCTACGTTTTGGTTTCGAGCAATTTTGAAACAAAAGCACCAGCTGGGACATACATTCCGCTAAAGAGCACTATTGAAAATGGGGTTCGGGAGGCCCTCGAAAAGGCAATAGAGCACGAAAGACTTTCCATCCCGTCTCCAAAAGTTTGCAATATAAGTGGCCCTGATTCAAAGCCCCGGAAATGCCCCACCCCCACCTCACACTCTCTCTAAAAGAAGCCCTTCCCCTTTCTTTAACAAGAAATTCCCGCTTTTCAAATAATAATTGACCTTACCAATATGCCTTCCATGTAAGTTGAGAAGCAGAATGGATACAAGAAAAAACATAATTCACTCAGGTTCTGTTAACACAAGTATAGAAGATTTTGTTCCTTACAGAAGAAATTATTACCATTGAGTTACTTTTCTTGGTGCTCCTGTGTTCAGATTCTTTCCTTCTCCAGCTATTACGAAATGCATGCCCTATGCCATGGATGCGATGCCCAGTGGATTGCTTCTCATAATGTCTCTTATCCAGGGCCAAACTACAAGAAAGGCTTAATGAATTGCAGCGTGAGGATGATGATGGTGGGAAGGGGCAGATCATCTGCACATCAGAGTTTAGAAATTGCTGCAGCTCGTATTTTCTCCTGAGTATCCAGCAAGTGAATTTTCAATTCAGAATAGAATGTGACAATACATATACCTATATCGTATGGTTACTGAAAGACATTACCTGATAAAGTCAGTACGCTCTTCTATTGATGCATCTGGTCTGGGCTTCCGATAACTATCAGGAATGGAAGCTTCATACTTCAAGTTTGCTGCATTATTTCCACCCATATCTATCAAACTATCAACTTGGTCGTCTGTCCATTCGTCGAGCTTCACTGACAGAACCTGTTAATAATGATAGACTAGTTAACCGTCGCACCCCCTTTTAACTTTTATTTTGTTCCCATTGGAAAGAGGAAAGATTATCAAAGTGAATCAAGTACAGGAATGGTGCCTACTACCCAGTCAGGAAAAAGCAAGATCTTGGAATGACAAACATAGAAGATTATGTAAGTTGATATTTTGCAAACTTTAACACACTTCTGCAACATACATGAAGAGTACATACCCTCTATACAACAATATTCATCTGAAATACAATAAAATAACAGCTTGTGAATCAGTAAATTCTCCTAACTTTTAGCTTAACCTAGATAGAAAAGGCTAAATCATGTTTCAAAATGAATAAGATGGAAATAACTGCATGCTTTGTGGAAATTTATTACAACCTAAATGAAATAAAATATTGATACGAGTTTTGCTCTGAACATCAGTTAAGTTGGAGCAACTTGCTTCATCCAGGCAAAGATGAATAGAGAAGTTTAGGTTCTTTCTTTCCATAGAATTTTCCACGAGGCAGCTTTCTTACCCGTACTTCGACATTTCAAGTATCTACTCCGTTTTAGGTTTTCCAATTACAATTTCAGTTCATATAAAGGGGGGGCACGAGAAAAAAAAGGAAATAGATGAAACATTATTCTAATACATTCAACAATAACAGGATATATGGCGGTTAAGACAAACAGCAAGGTTTGAATATCCAACCTTCGATATGTGCACTCCAAGGCTTCGATGTACTCCGGAGCACTTGATACATATAAAAACTCCAAGACTTAAAGATCTGAATATCACGAGATGAGATAGATATAGCAAGCTATTTTAAGACCAAAGAGGAATATACAAGGCTAATTCAATTAAAGGAAAATCTTCAAAGCAGGATTCCTTTTTTCAAAAAACAAAAGATACTGCTAGGTATTAAGTTTCTTGAAATGCAATATAGTGAGGGGAAATAAAGAAAGCATTTTTTCAATAATGTCAAACAACTGATATTCTCAAGTTTGGATGATTTTAAATCTTCTCAAACCATTGTCAACCTCAGTATGTTTGCTGAATGGGAGGAGAGACTATACATGGACACACAAAACAGCAAAACCCCAAAAAAACTAGGTGAAAAAGACTAAATTTACTGTTCCAACAACATTTGAGATACATAAAAGTACCAGCACAAAGGAAAACTTCAGAACACGAAGTAAAAGGTTTCAGTAATGGATGGTCCCTAATCTTTTTCTTTAATTAACGTTCAGCTACAAGATGAAACAAAAAAGAAACTAAAGAGATTGATCAACCTTTTTCTTTAATTGCGATAGGAAACTGGTATGTCATAACTTCTGATACTTACACCCATTTTGGATCAGGAGATCCACAATCTGCACAGAATCTATTGCCAGATTCACTCAACAGCCTCTGTAGTCTGTGTCGAGGACCTGATAAATATAACACAGGAGTACTAGAAACACTTACAAGCTGTGAAAGTGACTATATTTGCAAATCAAGCTTATTCAATCATGTAAAATATGCATTGAATCCAACCAATTTAACAGCATAGCATCAAATATCCAACATTTGATTTAGGAAAAGAGTAAAACTTAACAGAATTGAAAAGAAAGTGACTAATCCTAGGCAACTGATCATGTATATCGTGAAAAAAAGGAAAAACAAATAAAAGAAAAATCATCCTGTGAAAATGTTAAGGAAGATGGTAAGTAAATCTTCAAAATTAGTAAAATTTGGCATTCATGTCATGCTGAGAATAAGATATTACATACTCGAAGAATGCTTTCGTCTATCTGGTTGAGGACCACTACAATTTGAAGATGATTCCATTTGCAGAAGTTCATAGAGGCAAGAACCTAGGACAAATAAAGATGAGCTATTATTACGCTACACTATCCGAACCATGGTCTGCATTCTGTAGAAATAATTGTAACAGCTAGTCAATTCAACACAGAAAAAGGAATTTGGTAAGCAAGTAGCATAAAGATCAACAACCATACCAACAGATTGAAGAAGTAGATGATGTTTTTGGTCTTATTTAGTTGTGCGAAAATAAGAAAAAGAAGTGCATTCTTGTCACAAATTATCCAACATCATCTTATCAAACAAACAAGAATTCAGTGAACCCTGCTAGATAAAAGCCCATATGCAAAACCTGAGACTGAGGATCATGTATAGAATTGTCTAAAAGCTGCACACGTATGTATGTATATTCGCTCATTCCAAATTTCTTTCCTCAAATAGAAAATGCTGATTATAACAAAATAATCTAATCCTAGACAAAATTTAAATTTGGATAATTTTGTTTTAATTAAAGACAAGTGAGAAAGAATACCTGAAACATTGTTGCTATCAGCATTTCCCTCATGAGGAATAGACATTTTCCGTCCTCTAAATTGATTATCCCAAAAAGCTCTATAATTGTAAAGAATTCATCTTCTTTGATCCTTGAAAGGAATTGTCACCACGAGAACCCAAATTCATCCATCAATTCCCTCATGGGTAATGGGATTGTGAGAATGTTTCGCTCCTCTAATTGATACGATTATCTACCAAAAGGAGAAATGTATAATTGTATCTATATGGGAAACAGAAAAAATAAGATAGTTGTTAAAATTCGATTGTGTCTCATGACATGTTTTCCCAGAGCAAAAGAAATCAAATGTTGGGATGGAATGCATTTTTCGGGTGGTTGGGGACAACTACCCAACAAATGATTTGAGGAGATACCAAAGTGCCGTTTTTGGCGCGTACGCAAGATTTGTTTGCATTGTACGATCTCATCCCTTTCAAATTAAAAGGCTCCTTTGTGACTTTATGCCAATAAGGCTTTGCCTACGGGCATCTTTAGAGTCCAAAATTATGAGACTTTTGGATTTACTCTCAATTTAATACTAATTTCTTGTACAATGTTAATACAAAATTGTGACACTGTATTAGAATAAACACTAGTCCGGTATACCATTCAATAACTTGTACCGGTAAAATTCGGTCTTAACACGCTACTCGTTACTGCAGTGACACATAGCAGGAATGGTTCGGTACCTAGAAGCATGAAAGCTAAAGCCGGGAGAGCCAGAAGAACTACAATGGGGATTGTCCATTCAAATTCAAATCCAGAACAAGAGTGACTAGAAGGGACTCGCCAACTTAACACCTTTGGTCCGAACTCCAGTATACCCAAGATCCTCCCGGGAGATTATGGCCCCTACCTGTTATGCCATTGTAGTTATTTCTAGCAAGGATCTCGCCACCAGCTAGCCATATACATAACGTGTAGGCTTGAAACTCGTAACGGTCATATCCTATAGAGACTATACGTACTTTACTTCATGCACTTGTAAAAATCATGCACAACACTCCACAAGTTATTATTTCAATTATATTCCTGAAGAATTGTACTGCATTCTTGTGTAGCCCCATCAAAGGCCGACATCTAATAAGAATCTCTCTATTTAGCTCTTTAATTCAACTTTAATTGTCATTTTTATTTCTTATTTCATTCAAAGCACTTTAGATAAATCTATTTGCTAGCCTTATAATATAAATTTAATTATGTATTCTAAAACTAATTTTTAGGTTAAACAGTTTTGCGCTCATCGTGAGGCCTAGCAATTGAGCATTTGATCCAAAGTTATATCACATCTTCTCAATTTTATGTTATTCTCGCTTGTTAATTATTCATTCAAGGGAAACTCCATGTCTAGAGTCAATAACCAGCCAGTGGACCCAACAGCTCAACTAACAGCTTGTTTGGATGATTGTTACATATTGTATTGTATCGTATTGTTACTTTAAATGCTATGTTTGTTTTGATTGTTACTTAAATTTTATTGTATCGTATCGTTAAATCCGTCGTTACGTAACGATGAAAAGTGCCACTTTACGTAACGACCGATTTGGTGTGGTCGCGTCGTTACCTTATTTTTTTCTCTCATCTCGCCCTTCATTATTAATAAATAATCTTATTTTATCATTTCTCCTATTTTATTATATAATAATTTTTCCTCGTATAATAATTTTTCTTTATAATATTGTAAATTTATTCTTTATATTGCTGGTGCGTGATATCATAAAATGATGGCAAACGATACAGTCATTCCAAACATTGCATTAATTATACGATACAGTACAATATAATATAATACGATACGATACATTATGAAACGATACGTAACAACCATCCAAACAAGCTGTAATGGATCAAACTAGAGGAAAACAAACTCCAAATGATCAATCTCCTAGAACTTCACCGTCCAGCTCAAGAGAAAATTTCAAATGATCAATCTCCTAGAACTTCACCGTCCAGCTCAAGAGAAAATTTCTCAGCAAGATCCACTAGCAGGGGTGAAGAACAACATCGGTTAAGGAGACGGTGAAAATTTTATGTCTCAGTAATAACAATTGAACACTCAGATTGGAGAGGCATCAAGGGTCCTGACGAGTGGTGCAACAACCCCGACACCAACCTTACCTTCGAGGGTATATCTTGATATACAAACCCCCAACTTCAAACTGAGGAATACAGGGACGGGGGCTTCCAAATGACACCGAAGCTAAAGGCTCAGGTACAACCGAAAACTCTGAGTTATAAAATTTGATTCTAACCTTATAACAACAGGTCAATGAATAGAACGAGTGGATCCAACAGATCCTAGGAGTTCCACACATCATCACGAGAATTGACAAGAACAAGTACTCTTGACAACCGTGGAAGCCAGGTGCCACCCCATTACGAATCCTGAAGAAGTTCAAGATGTCGGGTTCCTAAGTGTGACAGAACTTCGGATCCGCGTGACCACGTCATGGAATACATGATTGGAATCAAAGGGAACGATCTCACGAAAGAAAAAATTGAATATGTGCTAGTCAAAAAGTACATAGAGACCCTAACATAAGAAGCTTTAACCTGGTACTTCCATTTACCTGAAAATTCTATTAGTTTGTTTGCTGAACTTACAGATGTGTTAATCAAAGTGCACTCCGGAACACAGAAGGTGCAAAAACGCATGAAGGAAATTTCAAAATCTAACAAGAAAGTACAGAATTGCTCCAGAAACTTTATAAATCATTTTTAAAGGGAAAAGATAATGCTCCCCATCATACCAGATAACTGGGCGGCTATGGATTTCACAAGGAACTTGAACAAAAATAGTTCAAAAGATACAAGGAGACTGGAAAATAGTCTTTGGGAATTCCCACCCAAGACATGGAATGATGTGCATCACAGGTATAACACTAAACTTTGAATAGAAGAAGAAATTACAACACTCTCCGGGTTCGAAAGCAATGAGACAAGAGGGTACAGTCACCAACCAGAGATGGTTGGTAGACGAGAAGATCACAAACACAAAGACTCTAGCCTCCGGTGTGAACCTTATTCTTGACCACTACATCGGGAAAACAACAGAAGACAAAGGCCGAGCCGAGATAGAAAAATTCATGGACAAAGAAATAATATGATGTCATATCGAGCAGGGAAAGAACCAGAAACATAAAAAAATAGTGATTATCATTTCAGACCAAAGTTAGTCGACTACAACTTCAATGTCAATGTGTCCGAGTTGGTAGCGATGCTCAAAGATATAGGAAGCAAAGTAAGGTGGCCAAAAGAAATGAGAACAAATCCAAGTAAACAGAGCCAGGAGTTTTGGTGCGAATTCCATAATGATCACGACCACAAGACCACCAATTGTAGAGTCCTTCAAAATGAAGTTGACCGCCTTTGCAAACAAGGTTATCCCACTAAACTCTTCAGTGAGAAGGTAAGCAATCTTATATGAAGAACAGAAGTAAGGAAGAGCCGCCCTGAGTCCTGTCACCAAAATGAATAGTCAATTTCATATTTGACGGAGAAAAAGTGAACGAAGTGACTTTGACAGCAGCGAAGAATTTCCCAAAAGTATCCATTTCACATGAAAAATATACTCGATGGATGTTATCTGGAGAAAGTATAACTTTTGATGATGAAGACATATATGGACTAACCATGCCATACAATGATACTTTGGTAATAACCCTGCAAATTCTAGATGCTAATGTTAGACGAGTTTTGCTGATCCAAGCAGCTCGACAAAAGTCATCCAATTATGGGTGATCAAAGAGATGCAACTCACAAGCCAGATCATTCCGAAATCATGGCTACTCTCTGGGTTCAACAATTCTAGTGAAATGACCCGAGGTGAGGTTGTTCTAAGAAATTTTACGGAAGGGATAGTCAAAACAACCCAATTTCAAGTTGTAGCTGGTGACATGGCTTACAACACCATCTTTGGGAGGCCTTGGATTCATGATATGGACGCAGTTCCATTGACACTACATCACGTGATAAAATTCCCATCAAAATGGGGGATATGAGAAACCTGAGGGGAGCAAAGAGCAACTCGGGAGGTCAATTCGATAGCAGTTGCAAGTAGCCTTCCCAAAGACAAAGCATCAAAATAGAAACCAAAACAAACGAATTCTAGAGCATTGCAAGTCCATCAGCTGAAGTTGATCCAAAAGGAACCTAGCAGAAGACACTAACATCCCGAATAAAATCGTCGAATCGAAGGAGTCCAATTCTTCCAAGTTGACTTTTGAGGAATTGGATGAAATGATCCTCTTTGTTAATTTCCCGAAAAGAAAGGTTTATGTGGGCTCAGGACTCAGCCCGAGTTAAAATATAAGTTGATGTGACGATTCGACCAGTCATTTTGTGTAATTGCACACCGTTTCCCCTTTTTATGCTTTACACATATGTGTTTGTGGTTTTATAACTTATGGGGTTGATTAGTTTCATTCCGGAAAGATTTCGGATTGATTTGGACCCTTTGATTCTTGGTTTAGAAGCCTAAGTTGTGTATGTTGACCAATGATTGACTTTTGTGAAAATGACCTTGGAACAGTGTTTTGATGCCCCCAATAGCTTCGTATTGTGATTTTGGACTAGGGCTTATGCCCGGAATAGAATTCGAAAGTCCGTAGGTTGACTTGTGTCGTTCTGTCAAAATTTGGCAATTTAAAGTTGAGAAGTTTGACCGTAGGTTGACTTATAGCTATCGGGTTCAGAATTTGATTTTGGGACTTGTAATAGGTCCGTTTTGCTATTTAGAACTTGTATGCAAAATTTGGTATTATTTGGAGTTGAATTGATAGGATTCAGACACTTAGTTGTAACTCTAGAGGTTCTTGAAATTTACTTGGAAATTCATGCGTTTTGGTGTCCGATTCATAGTTTTAGATGTTATTTTTGTGTTTTGATCATGCGAGTGAGTTCGTATGATGGTTTTAGACTTGTGTGGATGTTTGTTTTGGAGCCCCGAGGGCTCAGATGAGTTTCAGACATGATTCAGAATGGTTTGAACTAAAAATGGAATTGCTGGTATGTTGGTGCTCAGTTATCGCAATTGCGCGCACCAGCATCGCACTTCGCAATTGCGAAGCCTTTGTCGCAATTGTGACTTTTGTTGAGGCTGTCAGGGTTTGCAAATGTGACCCCTGATTCGCAATTGTGAGTGTTTGCAAATGCGAACCCTATGTCGCAAATACAACATCTGTAGCTAGTCATAAGGGCTGGGAAATCGGGATTTCACCTCATTTCTCATATTTTAGAACACTAGACTCGGTAAGAGGCAATTTGGAGAGGGTATTTTTATCTACAAACATTGGGTAAGTGATTCTAATCAATTTCCAACTATATTTCATCAATATATCTTAGATTTAACATCAAAATCATGTGAATCAAAGC